CAGCAGTACTCAAATAAACTAAACACAATGTTTTACAAACCGAGAGACTAACTAACCCCAATACAACCCAAAGCCACAGGAGGAACACCTCAAGAGGTTCCCTAAAGACACAACAAAAACACCAACACTAAGGACTATAGGCAAGGACAAATGCTCGAGATTGGATCAACAAAAATATATTATCGGTCACAATTAATTTTACATAGCAATACCCATAGTTAGGAGATGAAAATGCTTCAAAAAATTAAAGTTGCAATAAGAATAAAATTATTGTAAAGGGACTAGCATTGTTGTGGATATAGTAGTTTTTCATAATTCAAAATAATAATATATACTTCTAAAATATGAATATTAGCTCTTTTACTTATTTCTCAAAGACTAATTATAGACATCGAAATTATAATATTTTATTAATTAATGTCTTTATTTATTTTGAGGCATAAATCCAAGATAAATAAGATATTTAATTAATAAAGTTATTATTTCTTGCCTGTCAAGTCAAATCTTAGGATAAAGAAAGAGATTATATCAAATCATGAAGGACCAATCAAATTGATGTCTTCTTCTCCAAGACTCTCTCTCCTATACCTATAAATAGGGATCTCCTCAAAGCCACAAATCACACCTCAAAACCCGACACCTCAAAAAAATCCAACACCTCATAAATCAAAGTCTCAATTCAAAGAGCTCTCAATAATTCTTTTGAAGATCCAAAGGTGTTCTTGAAGATCCACGACAGTCAAGTTAAAGATCAAAGAAGAGAAGAATTCTCTCAATAATTCTTTTGAAGATCCAAATGTGTTCTTGAAGATCCACGGCATTCAAGTTAAAGATCAAAGAAGAGAAGAATCAGAGTGTTCCATATAGAGATTGTACCCGCATATCCTTTGATCAATATATATTCAAGTTGTACAAAAGTTTTATGTATTTTCATAAAATTTGTTGTTACAAATTTGGCACGCCCAGTGGAACTTCAAAGAAAATTCATTGTTACCAACTTTTGGCACGCCCAGTGGAATTTTCTCTACCTCTCATCTCTTCTCTCCAAATCAAGTTCGAATATTTTTGAAGATGCATGAATACCTCTGTGAAGAAAATGTACACGGGGGCAACGAATGGTGATGTTTTCCTAAGCCATGAATCCGTCGAAAATCATCGTGTTCATCAAACATCCGAATGGAGGAAACAAAAGTGGTCTTCCATATTCTTCTCAAATTCCATGGGGGCAATTTACATGAAGAGCTCCATCAAATCCTCAAATTCAAATGCTCCTTGATATGAGCCTAAACTATCTACATATCCAAATGCTCCTTGACAATAGTCTAAACTATCTACAAATTCAAATGCCCCCAGTATAAACACTCCTTGATACGAGTATAAACAATCTATAAATCAAATCGAATGAAGAACCCCTTGATACGAGTATAAACTATCTACATATCAAGTCATATGAAGAATTTCTTGATACAAGTATAAACTATCTACATATCAAATCAAATCAAGACTCCTTGATACGAGTATAAACTATCTGTTAAACCAAATCAAGAACTCCTTGATACCAGTATAAACTATCTGTCAAATCACTTCAAGACTTCTTGATACGAGTTTAAACTATCTACAATCCAAGTTGAAGAACTCCTAGATAAGAGATTAAACTATCTGCATATCTCAACAAAATCCAAAACTTTGAAACTCATTCACTACCAAGATATTTTTTCCGTGAACAAGTCTCAAGGGGGCATTTGTAGACACCGAAATTTTAATATTTTATTAATTAATGTGATCCGTAACGCTCCGTGGGATCCTGAGATGGCTTCCTGATTGTCTTTAATTAATAAAGTTATTATTTCTTGTCTGTCAAGTCAAATCTTAGGATAAGGAAAGAGATTATATCAAATCTTAAGATAAGGAAAGAGATTATATCAAATCATGAAGGACAAATCAAATTGATGTCTTCTTCTCCAAGACTCTCTCTCCTACACCTATAAATAGGGTTCTCCTCAAAGCCACAAATCACACCTCATAAATCAAAACACCTCAAAAAAATCCAACACCTCAAAAAATCCAACACCTTATAAATCAAAGTCTCAATTCAAAGAGCTCTCAATAATTCTCTTGAAGATCCAAAGGTATTCTTGAAGATCCACGACATTCAAGTTAAAGATCAAAGAAGAGAAGAATTCTCTTGAAGATCCAAAGATGTTCTTGAAGATCCACGACATTCAAGTTAAAGATCAAAGAAGAGAAGAATTCAGAGGGTTCCATATAGATATTGTACATGCATCTCGTTTGATCAATATATATTCAAGTTGTACAAAATATTTTATGTATTTTTATAAAAATTTGTTGTTACAAATTTGGCACGCCTAGTGGGACTTCAAATAAAATTAATTGTTACACCCATGTTGTAAAGGAGTGACACAAGTATAAATTAATGCAATAATTTTCCCTATGACCCCTAAATCTTACAAAAATCTAAATGACAATGAAAGAGTCATATTTGAGTTTAATTAGTCTTATCTTTTTTTTACTCATTAGTAAATTTTATCGACTTGCTAATAAGTCAGTCATGGATGATTAAACATTAAACAGCCACCTTATTCTCAAATTTCTCTTCCTATAAATAGAGTCCGCATTGTGCGAAAAATCCAATCAATCAAAACAGAAAGAAATACTCTAATTTCTGCTCAATATGAGAATGAGATCCATATATGCTGTAGCTGCCCTCCTCTCTTTTTCCGTGGTATGTTACATGATGATGCCTATATCCTTCTTACACTTTAAAGGTTTCACAAAATTATATATCTGGCAATATGATGATAATACTATCACTAATTTATTTCTTTACATGCCTTCTATTGTGTCTGTCCTGGTTTTCAACTGAAATCTTTTATTCTGTCAGCCTATTTATGGTTTTAAAAAACTCTGAAAAGTTTACAAAACGTCCCTTCAATTTTCGATTCCGGTTTATGAAGTTCATTCTGATTCAGAGGAGATACATAATAACGTAAAGGAAACTGAATACTTCCGCAATTTGGTATGCTGTATTTGACCCCAAACTCGGACTTACACATGAATTCGCAATTGTTTTAATTCGAAAAAAATGCAGTTCGTAAATTGTATGTATGCAAGAAAAGATGTAGGGGATTACTGGTAGAGGGGCTTGGATGATAAAGATATTGAGCCGAGGCCCAGTGTCACGGCTTACACTGACGCTGTCAGAACCGAACGCAGAAAACCTTTTGATAAAGATTTTGAGCCGAGGCCCAGTGTCACGGCTTACACTGACGGTGTAAAAACCGAACGCAAAAAGTCTTTTGATAAAGATTTTGAGCCGAGGCCCAGCACTACAGCTTACACTGATGATGTCAAAACTGAGCATAAAAAATCTTTTGATAAAGACTTTGAGCCGAGGCCTAATGTTTCGGCATATGCGGATAATGATGCTGTGGAGAAGGTAAACAATGTGATTGAGAAAGATTTGGAGACCCGGGAAAATGGTTCTGTTTATGAGTAATTAGCAATTGGATTGCCTCCATTTGCTGAATGAAATTATGTTTTTATGTGCTTTGTTTTATGTTCGTGGCCGTGTGGCTTGTTGCACCATGTTTTGTGTGCTTTGTTTTATGTTCATGTACTGTGATTTGGAAATGTGTAAGCCTCTAGTCCAATGGGAAACGTGTAATGTAAAATTCAATAAGATTTCCTTCCACTTTCCGCAAGCATTGGTCGCATACCACTTTTCTTTGTTATTTTCTATTTCTCCTTCAATTATAGTACTCGTAATAACACCCTTGAAACTTAGTGCTGTAAAAAATAAATTTGAAAAAAAAAAGGAAACACAAAAGCTAAAGACATCCACACTAAGATGAAGGTCATGCCCATGGAACACTTGATAATCACAATACTCACATATACTACACGTTCAAGGCATATATAGCAGAAGGAAATAAACTTGAAAAAAAGCCAATAACTTTTGCATGAAAACTTCAGCAACACCTATGCAAATTTGTCGAAAGCAAAGGAGAACAGAATACAATGGGAAGTGAACGAGCAGAGCAACCCAGTCCAAAATCAATGGAAGTGACGAATTCACTAAAACAAACGCTACTAGTATACAAGGATAAAAATGGAACTTGGAAGACCACGAAAACACAAGGATGATAATTGTTCTTGGTGCATCCCAGGAAGTTTTGAATCATAGTTTCAACATTCACATCCATTTGACCTCGACTGAGTGCTGCTACCAACGTCGATTGTGTCGGGCAGGTATCTTCACCAATATAAAGAAATAACATATAATCAACACACCATAATTTGGTGTTGTACAGTTGAAAGAAAATAGCAAACTATAATGTTTTGCATGCATTCTCCAGAACCAAGATATAAGTTATTTCCAAAAGAATGCGACGTAACGATAATTACAAAAAACAGGCAAAGGTTCAGGGGGCTTTTCTTAGGTAACTACAAACCAATGGCATGTGAAATATTGAAATATAACCAGAATTTTTATCTAGTTAAATTAAACGTGAGGAATAGTTATTTTAATGGATTTTTCTAATTGCACGTAATTGCTTGTCTATGGATATACATATACAGTCCCTCAAATGGTGTGGGAATGGGATCCACCGAAAAATTTTAGTAAGTGAGCCCAACCCCATGTGAGGGCATTGACACCATTATGTAAATCTAGCATCACTGTATTTTAATTAACCCCAAAGATTTTTTACCTAAAAGTTGCAAAACCAGCTTCAAAACCAATCAAAATGAATTTGTCAAACTATGAGCAACCAAAGTAGAAACGACATAATTTCGGTGCTGATATATACGCATAACAAAGACACAAAAAAGTTAGTGTTTCAACTCACATGTCCTCTTCTTCACCACTCTTCAATGCATTCTTTGCAATAACCTGAAAGGCTTCCTCAACATTGATGCCTTCTTTAGCAGATGTCTCAAAGTATGGAATATTCCCTTTGGAGGCACACCAAGCCCGGGCCTTTTTCTCAGACACCTACAACAAAGAAAGTAAACTAACACATTAGCCTACTGATGAAAAATCCATGACTTCAGAAATAAAACTGTGACGTATGAGATAACATTTCATCCATGGCAACCTGAAAACCAAAGTGGAAGAACCTTAGATGCATAGATATAAAGAACTACGAATATAACTGTTTCGTGTGGTGGTGCTTATCAATATATAAAATGCTAACAAAAATAAATTTTTGCAGCAGTATGGATCAAATGTGCAATACAATGACATGTACTCAAGCTACAATACAATATTCTTTTAGTTTATGATATTAGATGGGGGATGGGGGTAACAGAGAGAGAATTAAAATAGATGGAATGTATAAAGATTGTTAATAGTCAAGGGAAAGAAACATAAGAAATGGAAGATATCAGAGAATGCATGAGGTTATTACTATCTAGCCAGATCCAACTCAAACACATCATTGAGATATCCTGCTACAAGGTGCATCAAGTTCACCATATTCAAAATATATGGGAGGTCTTAGATTGTTTTCCAATACATTCAATTTACTTGAATTCGTAAGGCTGTTCAATGTAACAGCCTCCATGTGTGTGCAAAGAGAGAGAGAGAGAGAGAGATTACCACTCTACTATTTCCACCATCCACATCAACCTTGTTCCCAATCACAACAAATGGAAAATTTTCAGGATCAGATGGACTAGCCTGCATGGATGATTCCGTCTCATTAGTGATTTCTATTTCTTCAATTGCGGGAAAGAGATGAAAATAAATAATATATCATTCTTCGCATGACATGTCAAAACCTTGGCCAATAGCCATGCAATTTCATGTATTCTTAAGAAGTCCATGGGAACACATCATCAAAGTTTCAATAACACCACAAAATACCTAACCCCAATCCTCTCCTTAACTCAAAGAGCACGTAGAAAACAGATACAATTGAAGAAACTTGTAGTTTAAACAGCAATGGTGAAGTGCGATATATTTTCCTTATTGAGGTATAACGGTGTCATGTTATTTCACATACTAAGTAAGAGGCTATGTCAATATCATAGAGCAAATGTACGTTATTTAAGTCATAGGGCCGGACTAAAGGATGATAAAACATAATTTCCAGCTAATAAAGAAAATTAATATTGAACAAAACAATTGGAAGGCACATAACATGAGAAGACAAAACTACATACCTGAATTAGGAACTCCTCTCTCCAATTGTTAAGATTGTCAAATGATTTCATCACATTGACATCATAGACAAGCACACAGCAATCAGCACCGCGGTAAAACGCAACACCAAGACTTTGAAATCTTTCTTGTCCAGCAGTATCCCATATCTATCATTGCACAGACTTCCTCTCAGAACAAAAGAATAATAAGGATATAACTTGGACTACTAGAATCATTTTTATTATTACTAATTCAAGCTGAATTTTCGTCGCATCTAGAAACAAAAGATCCGATCTAGAGAAATTTTATCATCAAACTAAGTTCTAGGTACATTACAAGATCCCCAAAAAATGACTAATAAAAAGAAGAGCAATAATTAAATTAAATGGTTTTCTCATAAGGCAGACTCCTCAAGGAGAAAACAAAGCCAATCAACAGCAATAAACTAGTTCACAAGGATCCAATTAAATAATTGACAGTCAATACTCTAATGAGACTCGCTTTCAGTAGTTCTTACAAATATGACGAAACTCAATCAAAATCGTATGCCACAACTGTCAATCATGATTGAACAAATATGTCCAAGACCAACCTGTAAAGTGAAAAGCCGATCCTCAAACTGCACCTCCTTTGTCAGGAAATCTGCCCCAATCGTAGCCTTGTATTGGTTGCTAAATTTCTTATTCACATATCTTTAACCAAACGTCAATGAAACATCACATTAATAAAAACAAATAAAATCTTAGAATGCCTAATGTATCCGTAACAATTTCATGAGTTAAATAGTTTTCGAGGATACTGATTCATCAATGAAGTCTTCCCCACCCTGCAACCACACAAAAAATGCATTTACCATACACCTTCAGCAAATGCATATGCTCGTATATAAGGTCAAACAAAACACTAACGAATAAAATTGGCCGCATCATCTACTAGTAAACTACTATTAATTAGCAAAATTATTTTCTATTTCTTTCATATATTCATGCTTTCTAGTAACAATAACTTCCACATTACATGTTCAATTTGCCCTGCCCGGGGAAAATGCAACGAAATCAGACATTTCATCAATTTCATTTATTCTTTTCACTTATACACAATTCACGAAGATCGGAACAGGTGTTCCAGGACTTAAATCAATCTGAATTGAACCCGTAAAACATCAAAATATCGAAAATCCCGAGCCTCTGAAACTGCAAAACCAAAGATCCGCTCGAAAAAACTACAAAATCGCCAGAATTTAATCGGCCACGCGCACACACTATATCGCCGGCAGATCGTAAAATAAATAAATTACAGAACCAAAAAAATAGAAAAAAGACGAACCCACTGTCGCCGAGGATGATAACCTTGAGGAGAGCTCTTCTGCGGGACGACATCCTTTTCGGGTTCGGGCTGGGTAGTTGACCCGATCTGAAAGATATCGGATTATAATTTTATGATTACAAGTGATCACTTAACGGGTTACGATTCAATTCCGTGTTTTTCTGTTTCTCTCTCTTTCAAATTGTTTCAATCTGTAGATACCTAGAACAGTTGGCAACGGAAGTTTCTAGCTGGCGACAAGCGGAATTTTCTGTTCACATATACCCCATTTCGCGCTGGAATATTCTGTCTTTTATTAATTCTCCGTTTCATTTATACTACTCCTTCCTTTTTTTTGTTTTTAATAAGTTTCATTATGAGAAATTACACAATAATTAAGAATATTTTTTTATCAATAATAACCCTCATCTATATATATATAATAAGAATTAATATTTTTTAAAAATAGTAGGTCATATTTGTGGTCAAACTCGGTCTGCATTAATTACTTGCCATTAATGACAAGTTTTTTTTTTTATTTATAAAAATACACGCTCAGCATTAAATGCATTCCGTAATTTGTGGGAAGGTTACATAAGATGATGTCCGTAAATTGTGGGAAGGTTATATTTCATGACCACTAATCTGTTTATTATTTTCAAAATATCTTATTCTTTTTTTAACATAACATCTGTTTTAATAATTTAATTAATTAGCACATAGAATTAACATAATCCGGATGTCCCGTTTTTATTTTCTAACATTTTGAAACTTTTAGAAAAATAAAATCGGCTAATAGAATTCTATTAATTGCCAGTTTTTATTTTTTAATAAAAATAAATTTTGGCTCATTAAATTAAAAATCAAAAAATGACTAATATAATTGTATTGATTTGCAACTTTCATTTGTTACTAAAAATTAAAGTTTTAACAAATAATTGCATACGGAAACATTTATTATGAATTGTTGAAAATTTTCATTCTCTTTGTTTAAATCATAAAATCGAAATATTTTTGTCTTTATCTTTAAATTGACAATGGTTTAATTGCCTGAATTAATGATTTTATTATTTTATAAAAAACTAAATCTTAAAGTGAATCTGATTTATTTGTTAAAAGATATTTTATAATCATACTGTTGTGTTCTATTGTAATTTTAAATGATTTTATTATTTTTTAAAATACTAAATCTTAAAGTGATTGCGTAAAACTAAATTGTATCCATACAAATTAGATAGACAGCTCTTTATTCCATAAAACATAATCAATCAACATTGCATCCTAAAATTTTGAGATTATCCCGATTTTAAATATCATTTTTTTTTCAAACCTTCAATTAAAATTCGAATTGATTGCATACAATATGCATGCAATTCATTAAATTCAAATGTCTTATACTTAAAACTCCCAAATTTTTAATTCTGTTTCATACTTGATATTAAAAAATTAGGTTGATTATTTTTAAATTTGTAGATAGATAGATATTTTATGTCGAAGTAAGGTCATAAATCCTATCATCTAAATCCTCAATAAAAGCTTTAGCGTGGGATAATGTCTTATAATATTTTAGATACTTTAAACAAATTGTTTAGATATTTTTTTTTACATTTTCGATCTATATATATACATATACACATATACATAATAGATGTTAAATTTAATTATTTTTATACGTGTTTTCTTTAGAAAATAGTTTAGATCTTTTATACTGATGTTAATTTAAATGTTTTTAAATATGTTTTCTTTCCAAAACAAAACCTGCATCGCACGGGCTACACACACTCCACATCTTTAATTCTCACTTCCTGCATTGAGTGACTCAAACTCGAGTCCTATTTATAATATTATTTAATATTATTTTCCGTGCATCGCACGGGCTACACACTAGTTAAATATGATAGAGATGGATGTTTTGAGAAAATATAAAGAGTGAATATGAAAAGGCATAGTCTATTTATTAGCTAGATAAGAGTAATAATGAAAAAATATGTACAAAATATCCAAAACGTCATATATTTAATTAATTGTTGATAAAGTCAAAATGACACTTATATATGTATTACACAGTAATTGTTAAAAAAATTATTCTTAAATTTTAAAATAATGAAAAAAAAAGTGTTTCAAAATTTAAATATTTTCTTACATAAAATATATTTTATTATATATTTTAAAATCACATTTTCTACCTGTGCGACTTACATATGTTATGTTATAATAATTTTATAACTTATATCATATAACTACTAGAAACATAAATATATTAAATCATAAATAACTTTATTTTTCTAATTAATATTAATATATTATTTTATTATTGTTATAAAGATAATATAATTTTATTATATTTATAAAGATAAATATAATGTATTTATTTTATACAATATGAATGTCAAATCGAAGATCATCAAACAGTGATTAATTTGATATATTATATATGTAAAACTGACAAAAAATACAAAAGTTATAAACTTTTATAATACATTTATAATTCAATTGTTATAATCAGAAATGATATTAAAATACAATTAAGACATGTAACATTACCATAAATAATCGACATATTTATGGATAATTCGAACCTAATCATTTTTGGATTCGAAGTAAATTAAAATCTCTTCAAGCCAAATAATGAAGCATTGAATTTTGTCATATAGGATTCGAAGCTTTCGTGTCTGCCACTTAGATTCAGCACATTTGAAAACTATATATAAGAGGGATTTCACCATTGTTAGAAGGTATTTTCACATTATGTATTCGTAAGCAATTTCACTCTATTCGATATTTTCTATAATTCAAAATTACATTTTTTCTATAATTCAATTATGAAGACTACAGGGATTTCTTGCCTGTTGCCGAGAACACTCAGCATGCCGATGTCGAGAGCCCCGTGCACACAGCACATCGTCACCCAACATTACGCACGTTGCCGAGGACCATTGCAACCAACTCATGCATCGTCGATCAGACTTGCGGGCATTGTCGAGATACATGTGTGCGTCGCCGAGCAGCCTCGCAACCCGGTTCGCTGCTAAGTGGAAAGAGTGTTGCTGGGCAGCACTCGCGCGGTCGCAGGCTTAGATTGGCTGGTGAGTGTTGGCTGGCACGGTCACGGGCGAGTTGGCATGCGGCGCAGGCGGGTATCTCGCGGGTGAGTGCTCTTGGCTGTTGGGGAACTCGTGACCCAATGAGATGTCGTTCACTGGTGAGTGCGCGTGTGGCAAGGCTGGGGAGATCGCGCAATCGCGAGGAGGGACTGGCGGGTGAGTGCAGACAAGACAGACAATGGGCTCGCACGGTCGCGAGCTTGGTCTCGCGGGCAAATTCTGCAGCTTCTCTCGGCGACGGGCTGATAGCGTGCGCGGGCATTGACGGGCAATGCTAGATGACCGTGTGCAGGCGTCGCGGTCGTTGATGGGAAATATTGGGCAACTGTGTGCGAGCGTCGCGTAGGGTTGTGTGCTAGCGTGCAGGTGAGACCTGGCTCGAGCTCGTTGGGCACTCGGCTCATTATTGGGTGCTCGACTCGAGCTTGCCAGGTGAAAAATATGCTCGTCTTTCCTACAAAATAAAAGATAAAAAGAGAAATAAAAATCACAAGGAAACAAAACGACACAAACGCACCAAAAAGAGCAAAAACGACTAAATAGACAGGGAAAAACCTAAGATAAACTAAAACGAGCACAAATCAAATATTTCAAAAACACATCAAATAACAAAACAGGCATCAAGGCATTCACCCTATATAAGGGTAACCAGGTTCTTTGTTATAGTTTTCACATATACTCGAATTAAGATCTTATATTTCAGTTTATTATCGTATTGGTTCTGACTTGAACATCGGAGCGTCTATACCGGGATCCCCTCCCGACGCATTGCAGGTCATTGTAGCTCAAAGGAGGCCAACTTGCGAGGATCAATTGACTTAATCCGATTCGCGACGAAATGGCACATTACTATATTTTTCATAATCTGATCTTCCAGGATTATACACATTTACACTCACCATATTCGGTTGTATATTCATTGTACAAATTTCTCATTAAAATTTCGGAGAACAATCTCCTTACCAATCGGTAATATAGATGTCTTGTTTTTCTTTTAAGCATGTTTATTTAATCTCGATATATCCAGATTGTTTACCATTAAATTAAACTGCCTTAAAACATACTTTCCGTAACCATTCGTGGTTGACCGTCAATAATTTCTAAATGGAACTTCGAATATTGGGATATCATCCTTAACAAATTGTTCATTATATGACATAAATCTCAGAAAAAACATGATGATTAGTACTAGGAGTTGGCGTAGTTCGGGACGGTCCGGGATTTGACTTGTCCCGCTTTTATGAACCGGTCCGAAAACGGTCAAAGACGAGACACCGTCCCAAATGAATCAGTATCATTCGGTACTGAAACAAAATGGTTCGAGACCTGGATAAAACGGGACAAATACATAAACTAAACCAAAGAGTACTGGTTCCATGAAAAACTTAAAACAAACAACAATATTTTGATTCCAGAATTTCGATTAAAACAAACACACTGATTCAAGTATTCATTTAAACCAAATTACCAAAAACTATTGATTCCATTATAACAAACATATCGATCCATTAAGTTTAAATCACCAATCACCAACATCTAAGATCTAACATTGTCTTTAAAATCAAATTACCAAATGCATTGTTTAGTTTAAATGCATTGTTTTTGGGCTTGATTGTTTAGTTTTGGCTTGGACAATTGAGCTTTTATTTTTTTATATTACAAAATTAGAATGTTATTGAATCGTGCATGCCAAAAATGACCTACTGTTAATAATACTAATATAAAATATAATAATATTGTGTAATATATATTATATATATAATATTTTGTATGAAAAAAATAAAACAGGACAAACAGGACGATTCGGGACAAAAATATTCAAAACAGATACCGACAAAAACTGTTCTGTACCGAGAATGAGACAAAAATAAAGCAAACCTTTCGGAGCCTTATTTTTCAGAGCAGAACCATTACGGTCCGGTTCGGTACGGAAAAATTCGATTTTTTTGCCCACCCCTAAGTAGTACAACATAAAATTTGATTCTCGTGTTGCAAAATAATCTCGTGATTTATCCACCAAAAGTCAATAGACGACATAAACACTGAAGAGACCATATATGAATTCCACGATGCATATAGATACAAAGTCAATGATGAAAAAGGAGAAACGTACATAAAACAATCAACAACCATGTGAATAAGTCAATCCTAAGGATCACCCCATTTTCTCTCGAAAGCAAAATTTAAGTA